AAAAAAAAAAAAGAAAAAGCCATTTGGAAAACTGGCCAGTAACCTTTCCTGATCTGTGGTAAGTGACAAAGGTCGCTTGCTGATGGGTCCAGGAATGGTAATGTGCTAGAGGACCTCAAGAGAAGAGGAATTTACCCAATACATACAGGTATCTAATGGCACAGATGAAACCTGGGCTCATGTAAGGCTTTTGAGAAGTTCAGCCTGAGAATTCCTTACAAAAGACTCCAGCAAAAACCCCCTGACTTAAGGCCTACATGGGAGCTGAGGTTTGCACACAAATTCCTGTATGCCCAAGAAGTTTCTCTATGTTTTGCTTAAATCTGAAGTAACTACCTTCAAATGGCATGGTCACGGGTGGTGCCTGTGGCTCAAAGCAGTAAGGTGCTGGCCCCATATACTTTAGGTGGCGGGTTCAAACCCAACCCCAGCCAAAAACTGAAAAAAACAAAAAAAACAAAAAAAACAAATGGCGTGGTCAGTAGAACAGACATTCAAATTGTCTCTTTCCCCCATAGCCTCAGGCTTCATCAGATAAGAACAAAGAAAGTAATAACTGACAACATGTTCTTCATTAAGTTATGTTAAACTCGTTATGTTGAAAGGATTATGCTTAAAGGTGTATGTTTGGTGGGTTATCAGATTACCAAGGAGGAGCTACTTACAGGGCAAGTGGTAATAAGATACTTAAATGGATTAATGAAGTCATTGATGTCCAATGCGAATGTGCAGAGAGGAATTGTAATGAATGTTAATGAGATCACTGCTGTATAGTGCGCATGCACAAGATTGCCTATATAAACCAACAGCAAATAAAGAAGGCTTGCCATTTTGCCTGAGCGAGCAGATGGTCAAACGACATCGCTTTTCCGTGAGACCCTTACAGCAACATGCCTCAGCCTCCTCCTAAGTAGTTCAGACTACAGGACTGTGCCACCATGCCTGGCTAAATTTTTAATTGTTTTAAAAATAAGATGGGGGGCTGGGTGCCCATAGCTCAATGGTTAGAGTGCCAGCTTCATATACCACCGCTGGCGGGTTCAAATCCCCCCTCAGGGGCTGCTAAACAAACAAAAAAATATGGACATGGGATGGGGTGCACTGGCTTATGACTGTAATCTCAACACTTTAAAGGCCAAGGTGGGTGGACTGCCTAACCTCACAGGTTGGACACCAGCCTGAGTCAGAGCAAGGCCTCATCTCTAAAAACAGCCATGCATTGTGGTGGCACCTGTAGTCCCAGCTACTTGAGAGGCTGAGGCAAGAGAATCGCTTTAGCCCAGGAGTTTGAGGTTGCTGTGAGCTGTGACGCTACAGCACTCTACCAAGGGCAACAAAGTGAGACTCTTGTCTCAAAAAAAAAGGACAGGGTCTCAGTATATTGCCCAAGCAGGCCTCAAACTCCTGGGCTCAAGTTATCTTGTGTCCGTAGCCTCTCAAAGTGCTGGGATTATATTTGTGAGCCATCGTACTGGGCCTCTACTTTCAGATCACAGACTAAAAGTAGAGGTCGGGTGCTTAAGATGTTTACTTTAATTTTTTTGGTGCTGAAACCCAGGATCAAACCACAATGATGACTACAACAAAAAAACAGCCGGGCGTTGTGGCAGGTGCCCGTAGTACCAGGTACTTGGGAGACTGAGGCCAAAGAATCGCTGAAGCAGGGCAGTGCCCATGGCTCAAGGAGTAGGGCGCTGGCCCCGTATACCTGAGGTGGAGGTTTCAAACCCGGCCCCAGCCAAAAACTACAA